AAAAAAAGTGACGAGAGCCTGATTCCACCTCGTCGTGACGCGGATGTAAGGCTTTTGTCGTCGTACAATACGAACTGAGTGGAAGAAAAAGAAAGAAGATTATTTTTCAGATAACCAAGATAACGCAAGGTTTTTGTTTTCCAACAATTGGAAAAATATTATGATTAAAAAAAACAAACATTTCTTTTTTCCAACATACACTAAAATAGCCACATCGATTTAGAAGAGAGATAAGCAGCTTCCAGTAGTGTGCTTTGACTTTACAAAGGTTGGTGTTTTTGCTGTTGTTGTTTTCTGTTTTTTTCTTAATTAATTGTGCGGTTAGCTGACAACAGGAGTCACTTCTCGCAATCCACAAAATATGGAGATATTGGCCATGAAATGGACTTAAGGGTCAAATTTGTATAATATTTTCTTTTGATGCCATATTCTTTAACTATAACCTGTCTTTTATTATTTCATACTTATAAAACGTAAAAACTTCACCTATAAGCGTGTTGTATCTATTTCCTTCAGGCTTTAATCAGAGATGTAACTCATTTTGTCAGAGAGAAGTAACTCATTTTGTCAGAGAGAAGTAACTCATTTTGTCAGAGAGAAGTAACTCATTTTGTTAGAGAGAAACAACTCATTTTGTCAAAGAGAAGTAACTCATTTTGTCAGAGAGAAGAAACTCATTTTGTCAGAGAGAAGTAACTCATTTTGTCAGAGAGAAACAACTCATTTTGTCAAAGAGAAGTAACTCATTTTGTCAGAGAGAAGAAACTCATTTTGTCAGAGAGAAGTAACTCATTTTGTCAGAGAGAAGTAACTCATTTTGTCAGAGAAAAGTAACTCATTTTATCAAAGAGAAGTAATTCATTTTGTCAGAGAGAAGTAACTCATTTTGTTAGAGAGATGTAACTCATTTTGTCAGCACGCTCCACAGCTATTCTTTTTTCTCCTGATTACTTTCTCGTCAAAAGGGGGCTTTATTATTATTTTTTTTTTACATAAGATTCTTTTTCCCCTTCTGATTTTTCCTGAACAAAGGGAAGCTTTTCTCTGTGACCTCAGGGAAGAAAATAAAGACCACGAGGAAAAATTGGGCTGAAAAATCACTCTGAAAAATAAGATAATAATCAACTGAATAACTCGCACCATTTTATACGGTTGAATAAATCTAGTTCGTTGAGTTGTAACACTTTTCTTCTTTTTGGTCGCTTTGAGGACAAGCGGGCTAACCCAGATTTCGAAGGTTCCCAGAAATCTTGACCTACACCAAAAGTGGGCATAGCCCTACCTGAAGGAGAAGTTTGGTTTCATTGGTGTGAAAATTTGTTTGGTTATAGAGAAAACTCTCCTTGTCTTTTAAAGAAACTGAATAAGGGTCCAAAACCTTTACCTTCGATTTTCTCAAAACAGCATTTTTCGGAATAGCCCCCCTGGCCTTGCGCTTAAAAGCAACCATATATACCTGAAAGAAAAAAAACGAATTTGTTGGGTTGTAACACGAATCATCTACTTCTCAAAATAGTCCGCATTAAAATGGATCTTTTTTGCCCTCTCTTCTGAAAAAACCAACCCCAGTATCACCTTCGTCTCTTTCTTTGACAACAACAACAACATAGTACAACTGGGAGGTTTTTGTCGAGCACTCACACACCACGCCATGCTCTGCTGGTGTCATCTGACCCAACCGCTTAGTACCACGATCTCCGGTGACTTCTGGGACTTTGTGAAGTGTTGTTCCGTCAAGATTGAGTATCTGAGCTCCAGAGACACCCAGGCCACTATCTAGAAAGAGCGTGCAGCTAGTTAAAAAATGTTCCCACCTGTTGAAAGCTGTAGCTCTTGCCAGTGAGGTATCCACTGGATGTCGCAAACTGAGTTGTGGATATCTCCAAAAGAAAGCTCTCCCGCCACTCCTTTCCGGCACATTTTGCATCAACCCACGAGGATGGATTCCCGCCGGGCCCCCCCCCCCCCCCCCCTCCTTCAATCGTATAAATCTTGACTCCTATTCAAGATATACGATTATTGTTCCTCATCAAATCAAGGAAAATAAACAAGCTTTACGAGCACACCAAAAGCTTCCTACGCCCAACTATTGGTGA